GGTCCTGAGACACGATCAGCAGGTCCCTAGCTAGAAATTCTGGCCCCCCCGATAAAATGTCACTGTGGGCCACCCCAGCACCAGCAAATTTCATATATTCAAGGGCTCCTGTAAAGTGCTGGGCCCCCACCCCCGTATGCACCCCCGATGATAAGAGAGAGGGGTGTTCAGAGGAAAGACCCCCACAGGAGCCGAAGGGATGTGAGCAGATCAGGCCTCTAGTCAGGTAAGCTGCACTACAACATACTGAAAATTAATAAATTAATTAATTACAAAATTACATGCAAATGCATGACGGCCTATTGCTGTTGAATCCTTTAAAACCTCGTAAATTGGAGCAAAAAGCTGGTAAAATGGTAAATAGATCATTATTAAATGTCATCTTTCATAATCATCCAGGTTTCTGAATATAATTGCCGACCTGTCTTGCAAAACATCAGGTGCATACTGAGCTAATCACTTCTATCACAATGAGTGCAGCATGAAGGGTTTAACGACCTGAAGGCTATTGACCTAATGCTTATCATCCACACTTAATCCCAGCAATAATTATAAATCATTTATATATAAAGTATGCAGAGACACTTCACGCCAGTGCCAGAGAGATGATTAATAAATGATAATGTAATAATTAGCCGTTCCTTATTCTGGGAAAAATCAATGTTTCCCTTCCATGTTCAATGAAAAAAAATCTTATAAATTTGCGGATTGTGTAATTTTAATAAAACTATGACAAACATTCACAGTTTACCCGTTATTCAGCTTCCAGCATTGAAACACAGACTATGTGTCTGCAAACGAAGGGGCTTGGGGGGTGGGATGGATTTCTGACCCATAAATCTTCCGACCATCCCAAATAAGCACATAGAGAAAGGGGGGAGACTGAGGCTCAAATATGCTTATACATAAAATTAGGTTCAAGCATCAATTTGTTCCCTGTTCTTCATGATTTCCATATATAAATATTGTTAACTGTATTCAACCCAATTAATAAGTCTTATCTTAAAATCTTTTTTAAAAATGGTGGTTTGTATCTTAGATGTGTATAAAAATGCAGCTTAATAATAAAAAGTATGGACCCTGAACTGATGTACTCCGTCCGCATGTCCTCGACTTTGACGCGTGGCAAAATCGTTTTTCTGTAATTATTAACCAAAGGCAAAAATAAACATCCCAGAGTAAAAGTCTGCAACCGTGGGTATGGGCGGGATATTAATGAAATAATAATACTATAATAGAATAGTTAAAACCAGCTAAACAATTGCTTTTTTTTAATTATCGAAAAATTATTATATGTGAGCAATATACGTGTCACGTAAGTCCCGGTCTACAAACGGAGTGCATAGCCAGGAACTTAGGCTACATAAATCTAGGATGTATTTTTGAGGAGTTACTTACCCAAAGGCAGCACACAAATACAACAGAATTCTGCTCAAAGCAACTACTGAGCGTAAGATGAGTACTACTGAGCATTTCTTAACCATGCGTTTGGTATAAATTGTATTTCACTCCTTTAGTCCAGTAGGTGGCGCTGTATGCTTACAACTGGCTTTTGAGTTCCGGAAGATTTACTTAAAGAGGCTCATATATATTATTCAAACGTCAGTTCATTTGTGATAGTAGTTCTGCAACGGTCCGTGATCAGGTAGGCGATTGTTCTTTCAGTGTTTTGTGTTTACGTGTTTAGCAAATAAACCATTACTTTAAAAAATCAACGGGCAGACTGAGTAATCGTTGATTTTGATAGGAAAAGCTGTTGGTTCTCCGGCGCAGAAGACTTCAAGTTTCTTGGTGTTAATGTTACATAACAGGCTGCATGTTTCTATTTGTCTTAATTCTCAGTATCGGCAGTTTTTGTTTATTTGTGCTTCCCGATATCACAGTCATAAAGATAGAGTGGAAAAACAGCGCAGCAGAACGCCGGAGGACTTCTGCTTTCTGTCAACTTGAACTTGAATGCACGCTTCTCAGATTGTGTGTAAAATATAATTATTAGTTCTCTATTTTTCGCTTGCAGATGTTTCACGATTCGTAACGATCGCAGATTACTTAAAACAAGTTAGTCTGGACAGTAACTTGCTAGGCTGAGTCTAAAATTATTAAATGTTTATGTTTTTTGTATAATTGCAATTTTTTTCAAGTTCGTTTATTTGTATTATTTGTTTGTTTATTTTATCTGTAAATTGTATTCACGGGCCATGTTATAATAAACCCCCTCTCCCCGCATAAAAAGTGCTATTCTCAACCTCTCTTATCATGATTCAGCAATTAAACAGCTAAATGTCTCGTAAAATAACGCATTGATAGTAGTATAGGTCTCTTACATGAAAAAACGATTAGGCTATGTTATGAATTTTGGATTGGTTTAAGAACAAGCCGGTCAGTCCTGAATGGCGCCTTACATGTGACAGGAATCTCGCAGAGAAATGCATGTTCACCATGAAAGGTCTGATCAGCACAGCTTCAACTTCATGATTATTATACAGTACAAGTTGGACAAGATTGCGGTTTCGTAACCCTGACAAGTCTTTCCAGTTTAGCGCTTTACGTTTGGCTCAGAAGCCTCCGAAAGGAAATTGCCACATACCTGAATTACTACACTTTTTTTTTCTTATGACGTAACTAATTTAGATTCAGACGAATATATTTCTTACACTCCAGCCGCATTTGGGTAAGATCAAATCCTAATGAATCGGCCTCTCGCGGTGGCTTGTAGGCCTACATGGAAATAAATAAGGATTTTTAAAGTTTAATTGTTTTTTTTTATTCTTCTTATAGAAATGTTCCTGTATATCCTTTGCCTGGCTGCCTTATATTTTCTGTATCGGTGGTACAGAGAGAGCAAGACAGTTCCTAATAAATCGGACAAATATGTCTATATCACCGGCTGCGACTCGGGGTTCGGAAACCTTCTGGCAAGGCATCTGGACAAGCGGGGCTTCTGCGTGATTGCCGCATGCTTCACGGAAAAGGGGGAGGAGGACCTACAGAAGGGCTCCTCCAATAGGCTCGCCACCGTCCACCTTGACGTCACCAAAACCGAAAGCGTCAGAAAAGCAGCAGATTTCCTCAAGAATAAGGTTGGGGGTAAAGGTAAGCTGCAGTTACATAAAAAAAAAACAGATGAGTAGCTGCACTGCCATTCGTCTTATGTGCTTGGCTTCATGGGCATGTTAATGGGAATGGGTTCTGGGTTTATTAGGGATCCTGGTAAATGTACAGAATTGCTTCAGTAAAAATATCTAATTATCAGTGCTCTTACTAAAGGGTCAACTGAGCAACACAGTGACCAAATTATCAAGAAGCTTTCATGTCTGATGTGAAGAGCACTGATGTTCACAGCAGAGGTTTAGAATCAAACTTTATATGCACTGCCCAAAAAATGTGGCCGCAGTGTTATTTCCTTAATCATCTTCACCTGTTTTCACCATTTTAGTATCCTGCGTTTTAGGGGGTGTAGTTGTTAAGGTTAGCCCAATCTCTTCAACGACACATAGGCAGAAATGTACCCGTGAATATCCATCATTCACCAGTCATGAAACATTATTTGGAAACTATTAGTGGGTTAAAACACTATTTGAATATTTCCTGAAATTATCCAACAAGCTAAATCCCAGATTACTTTGGTAAACTCTAGTCAACCTACAGCCGTACATCTTATCGACTGATCTCTTCGAGCGAAGGGTATTGAGGATGTCTGTGATCTTTACAGGCCTGTGGGGCGTGGTTAACAATGCTGGTGTCTCAATACCATCGGGGCCCTGTGATTGGCTCTCAATTGAGGATTACAAGTCCATGCTGGATGTGAATCTTCACGGCGTCATCGCCGTGACCCTGAGTGTGCTTCCACTCATCAAGAAGGCCAAAGGGCGCGTGGTGAATGTGGCCAGTGTCTTCGGTAGGATAAGTCCGTTCGGTGGACCATATTGCGTCTCCAAGTACGGAGTGGAGGCCTTCAATGACAGCCTGAGGTAGGAGTCCCATGTGATGCATAAGCACAAGAAACCTGCAGATCTGAGTCTGGGGCAACCTAAAAACTAATTTCTTTTTTTTTTGCTTATCAGGAGAAACATGGTGCCATTTGGAGTTAAAGTCCTATGCATCGAACCGGGCTTTTTCAGAACCAGTGTGACTGACATTGACATTTTACGTGATTGCGCTAAGAAATTGTGGACAAAATTACCGCAGGAAATCAAAGATGAATATGGGAGCAATTACTTGGATAAAGGTACTTCACATAAGTATACAGCCACGTACTTTAGGTCACTGGTTGGAGATGATCATACACCTCAAATATAACACTAAAGGATGAGGGTTGGTTTCTAACTACAATATTATAAAGACAGTTGACTCGTTATGGTCAGCTGTGGACATTCTAGCATTGCATTGCTGATTTAATTAAATGAAACCTATTGAATTTATAAGTAAATTCATTCTTCGCTGATGACTGAAATACTTCATTAAACCAACTAGTTTTTATTGTAGTATATCTAACACTTGAATATATGACAGTGCCATAAAACAAATGAGTTTTGAGACCGTGACTTTTGAACAATTCATATTAAAGTTCAAAGTGTGTTTACTGAATTTTTGTTGATTCATCCAAGTTGGCACGTACAGAACGTTTAGCTACTCAGCCTTTAACCTGGCGCTGAAATTTCCAAGGCTTCAGAGTTTAACTCGGGTATTAAAGCTTCGACGCAGAGGCTGTTGAAAGCGGTTGCAGCTCTCTTAACACCATGTACATTCTTTTGTCCTGTAGTGGAGACGATGTTGAAGGAGAAGTTCATGAAGATGCCAGATGGGGACCTGATGAAGGTGGTGAGCTGCATGGAGCACGCCCTTTCTGCAGTCCACCCTCGCACACGCTACTCGCCTGGGTGGGATGCAAAGTTTTTCTGGATCCCACTGTCCTATATGCCAACCTGCATTGCTGATTACTTATTACTTAAAGATGCAATCTTCCCAGAGAAGTCTGTAATCTAGCCATTTCCGTTTGTCAAGTCTTGTTGAGACTTATAAACTAGTATTGTTTCTCGTATTGTCACCTAATCAATAATGATGTAACCGGTGCTTTTATATAATAAACTTTAGGACCTGTTGCAGTACTCTGTAATATGGTCATAAAGACAAACTGAGCAGATGTGCCTGTGAATGAATGAGATCAGTTTATCTGGATCAGATTTACGATATTACAAAGTACAATCTCTCTATGTATGGAGCACATTAAAATATTTACAGTGGCTTCAGGTAATAAAGGAATTGGCTTCATCACAATTTGGAAACTACAAAGTTGGATCTATTTAAGTGGGTGTTTCTTCTTTCTTTTAACACAGGACTAAAATACGCTCAGAAGTGTACCTTTCAGAAGCTTAAACTGTTAGCTTAACTAAGCTAAGTAACTGCAACTGTGGTGCTGTAATAGTGTTACTTATATTAAACATGCTGTCTTAGGGAAATTAAACCATTTCAGAACAGTGAAAGTAGCAGCATCTTAAATTCAGGGAAACAGCCATATAGTTTAGACAGCATTGCTGCATGTTTTAGGACTACAGAGGAACTGGAAGAAAGCCATACAGTTCACTCAGGGCTGGGGGTGGGAATAAAATCCATAATCCTGGAATTCACAACAGTCTATTTTCAGAAAGTTTATTGTATAGAATGGTTAAACTAGCAGAAATGACGGTGTAATCTGGATATAGGAACCAGGACATCGAACAGAACGCTTCAGGCCATTCTGTAAACCAGCAATTCTCAACCCATGGGTCGTGACCTAAATTTGGGTCACAGCAAGGATCGCAAGGCAGAGTTGAAAATGTATGCATTTTAAAACCAGCAAGCTGCTATGCTGATCCACAATCAGATTTCCCAGCCCCAATCCTGGAATTAACCTGTATAAATGGGTCTTAGATCTGCAAATGTTTAGCGCAAAACTAGTAAACATTTGACCAATCCAAGAAGCGAAAGCACAGATGCTTAATTTAAAATTCATTGACATATCCAATCAGATTTGTGTGATAGGCATTGATTGGTGAAGCAGTGTGCACCCTGGTAAGTTTGTTATACCAGATTATATAATGCAAACTTTATAAATTATATAATTAATTGTCTTTTTTAATCAGTTAATATAGTATATTTTAATGATCTGATATATAATTGCAGTTCTTAATTTGAATCTTGGGGTCTGCAGTTAAAGTGTTTTTAATGGTGTGAAATAAACAAAACATTCACAATATTATGAAGAAAATGTAATCCATCTACCAGTATGGGTGGAATAATGGCTCAGTAAGGAGAATTTTGATCTCATACGCAGAGTTGTGGGTTTTATTACAGTCCCTGTTGCTGCCTGTTTGGGTGAATTGCTGTCTCTAAATTGCCCATCTCATATGATTGTGTCCACTGTGATGGACTGCCATCCTGTCCAGGACACCCGCTACACCGTGCTTCCTGTGATAGGCTCACTGTGACATTACACTGGATATGTTCTTAAGGAAGATGGATATTTACTAGCAGTCCTTATGAGTGCTGCGCCCTGAAGATCATATTGAATCATGCATGTCGTCCACCTAGTGGTCACTAATGAACATTACAAATAATCCATAATTTTATTGTAGGTGTGCAGTGTTATGGATGTAAATTAGTAAAAGGTTACAGAACCAACCTTGCATTGTACTTCACTTTTTAGATATCAGTCCTGTTACAACGCGACTAATGCATTCCTGAAAAACCTTGTGTTCACTAACATCGCGTATTAAAACTACACAAATTCAATGCGAATAACAGCTAGAGGAATGCAACTCCAAAACTTAGTAACTTACGCCAAACCAATTGAATTACCTAATACAAAGTGATACCACTGATCAATAATGTAATTATATACATTTTAAATAATAGAAATAATAAAACATTAATACATTATATCAAACTCCTATGGGTCTTATGAGTCTCATGAGAATAGCCTAGAATGTGTCTGACTCACTATCTTGTCAAATCCCGAGAGGTGGGAGGAGTGATGGCCAAAACTATGCTTCAAATACAGCAAATGGCACATAAAGTGTTGTCTTGGCTACAGCCACCATGAGGCAGTACACTAAAGGCAACAAGCCTACAGACAAGTCTACCAAAAGCAAATATAAAGGAGACTTTAAAAATGTAATGTGAGTTTAAAAACTGATGTGTTTGTATATGATAATCTGTCAGATATTTTTAGAACGTTAGACTTTGACCTGTGCAATGTGTGCATGCACAAAAAGACAAATATATCGGCCGCATTAGAACACATTGGAATCTATTGATCTTACAAATAGCTCTGAATATAGCATTGTAAGTTAGAGTGCATCTGAGATGCCAGAGGATAAAGTAATATTTTCTTTTTATTCAGACATGATACTTGCAGCTAGCAGAATGACATTTTTATTCTGTGTGAAACAACAGCCAGATTTAATAATGAATTATCAACATATTGCATTCTGGTACTGAGACCTTCTATAAGCTAAATGGTGAACGAGTCGACGAATACCCTCATCCTCCACTACAGGTAATGGCTGACATTGTGCAACTGACATTACTTCAATGTGTTTGGACTGTGGTCGAAAACTACAAAACCCAGAGGAAACCCATATGAACATAGAGACATGGTATATAAACCGAGTTCAGAAACACCCCGAACTTGAAACATGCATAATGTTAGAAAGCAGTGCCCCCCCCATTTGCACCAGTGTACTGCCCCCCCATGTCATATATGTCATGCTTCCACATAAAATGCAGTGTGTTTTTGGGACAATTGCAATAGCAAGTGCCAATACTGTTGGAGGACTGCAATTCTGGGCTATGTGTGCAAATCTAAAATCGTGGGGAAAATGGCAGAGAACATTCCATAGTAGTTGAATATAACAACATGTCACCCAGTACAGACGGAGCCCCCATTTTTCAAGACTTTTTTGGTATAACATTTTTTGAAGAATCTTACATGAATTTAAATAGACTCTAAATAAAATAAGGTGTGCTAATATGTTTTCTACGTCTTCCAAGTGCGAAAATCTGATGTATCTTCACACCCATGCTATTTGGACGTTGAACTTTGTGGCCATTTCCCAGTTATGACGTGACCAACACAATTAGCAGTTAGCCTAATGAGCACAGTACTGAGAAACAGGCCACATGTGAAGCACCTGCTGGCCAAACGGGGATCGAACACATAGGACAGGGATGGACGGACACCAACCCTGACAGCCCACATTTTTAGAAAGACTTACACATCATCACAGCAGACGAAATGGATGCAGAGCAGATACATTGTCCCAGATTACAATATATCTTTCCACTGATTTGCAATGGTCCAAAATTGACTTCATCAACATCCACAATTTTTCATTCCAATACCTTCCACCATATTCTCCCTTCATTAACCCCACTGAGGAGTTATTTTCAGCATGGTGGTGGAAGGCTTACAGTCTCCAGCCCTTCGTAAGGATAAGCCTCATTCAAGCCTTGGAGGAGGCCTGCGACCAAATTGATGCAGGGTCTGTGCAAGTATGGATTCGCTGTTCAAAATTATTCTTCTCTTGCTGGCTCTCAAGAGGACTTAGTCTATGATGTGGATGAAGTGTTACGGCCGGATCCAGCTAGCTGACACCCAGGGCCCTTTCTTGAGACATGCTTTCTTTGTTTGCACATATGTTTTTGCTATGTTATTTTCTGATTTTCAGTGCAAAATGCAACCTCTGGAAATGCATGGATGTACTGACTGATTTTCAGCGTGGAGAGAAATAAATATCGTTGCAATGTCAGCACGGTGAGACATGCTCAATCAATATGTAAAAGTACAGATGACACGTTTATTTACCGTAACTGCCAGTGAGAGTACCAGCAGCGACACGGGAAGGGGAAGTGACCCAGTACACACTTCAAACACCATCGGGGGGGGAATCACAAACACACCACATTTGGGGAATACTATATTTGACACTTTTACGAGAACACAACACATTTACATTTACTGACATTTCAACATATTGCAGACCTCATTTACACAAGTATTTACGGTATGCACAATCCAGTGCAATGTAAGTGTTTAAGACCAGGAGGCATGATAATATTGTAGCGCATGGGTGGACCGAGGCATTGCAAGCCTAGCGAAGGACAAGGAGACTTGCTAGCCAGGACAGAACATGCTAGCCATTTTTTCCTAAATATCTGAACCAAGATTTACAATGAGCCGCAATTGGTACAGAAGGGGGTTAGAGACACAATATTTTAATGTGATATGGGCATATATGCATTTAACACAAAAACAAAAGTTGAAGTACTTACATAAAATAAAGAAAACCAATTTCGGGGGTCATCTCAGTTTTAAATCACTCCGACGCATAACAATGCAAAGGTGACTAATATTACAACATTGTTCAGTTCTGTAGCTACAGTCTTCACTCTCAACCCTTCTTTCGTTCGGCTCTGCAGTCGTCTGCCCTTCACTCTCCTCTTCACTTCTGCTGTGCTGATGAGCAGCACAAATGTAGTCACAACTCAGCTGGCTATAATATGTAAATCGGAGAAAATATAATAAGTTTTACGAATACCTGTGAAGGCGTGGTAATGATTTACTACAAAAAGTACAGGAAAGAATTAGGAGTCCCAATAAATGTTGGGATAAATCGTACATCCAATCTCAGGTAGGCCTACTAAAGAAAACTCCGGAAAGTATACCATTTGACCAGAGACGTACTCTCGTCCTAGAGAATGATGCCGTTAAAGCATCACAGAAGCGCGTGAAGGACCTCCTCATTCACATATAGCTAAATGAAAAATACTAACCCATAAAATAATTTATCTTTAGGAAAGTATTATCATAATTATGTTAAGACATGGAAATGTGAATGCGGCTGTCGTTCTGAGAAGAGTCACGTGGTCAAAGAGCCGCAGGTCGCCGACTCCTGGTCTAGGAAGTGTCTGGGTGATGTGGTGTTTCTCAGTATTTGTTAGTAGTGCTTACCAGGATGTCCAACCTCTTGGATATTTTTTGAAGATGCCAGACGGGGACCTGATGAAGGTGGTGAGCTGCATGGAGCATGCGCTTTCTGCAGTCCACCCTCGCATACGCTACTCACCTGGAGTCCGCTCACCCACAAGCCGACCTGCATAGCTGATTGCTTCATACTTACAGATACAGTCTTCCAAGAGAAATCCATAATCTAGTCATTGCTGCTTGTCATGTCTTGTTGAGATTTATAAGCTAGTATCATTTCTCATATTGTCACCTAATCCATAAAGATGCCATTTAACGGGTGCTTTTATATAATAAACTTCAGGACCTGTTGCAGTATTCTGTAACAAGGTCATAAAGACGAACTGAGCAGACGTTCCTGAGGTCAAACAATCCTGCTTGTGTAGTGTTTGTTTATTATATATCTATAGATATAGAACCAAGATGGCGTCGTGGATGGCAGCTTCGACAGAACCCTGAATACCAAAACTACTAGACAGAGAAGCAGTTTTTCCCTCATGCCATCACCCTCATAAACAGCTGATCAGTATCATCTGCTATGTCACAGCTACCCTTGTATTTCAGATTTCACTTTTTACATCCAGCCTCACAGCTACAAATACTGCATTGTACAATGCTCATTCACCTCAGTCACATTCCCATACAGATGTTCACATTTTATATATATTACTTTTCTTGTATATAATCTGTACATCGCTTGTATACAGTATTATGCATTGTCTATGTTCATTGTTTATATATTGTCTATATAGCTTGAGAGACACCATTGGCCAGAGCGAAATTCCTTGTGTAAGTTATACTGATTCTGAAACTGGGTTGATTGATGTATTTATGTCATGTCATTATGGAGGCAGCCACTAAATGTCATTGTACTTGTGTAATCACTTGCACAATGACAAATAAAAATCCTTGATCACTTTATCTGGATCAGATTTAAGAAACTACAAAATACAATTATATGTACAGAGTACAGTTATAACATTTGCAATAACTTCATATAATAAAGTAAAAATAGAAAGTAGTTGGCTTCATTATCAGAATTTGGGAAATGCAATGTTGGATCTATTTTCATAAAAAAAAAAATGTCACTATCGCCATTTCTAAAAAAAAAGGACTATACTAGGCTCTGAAGTGTATCTTTCAGAAACTTAAGCCGTTGAAGTTAAGTAATGTTGGTGTTGTAATACAGTGTCACCTATTTTAAACTTGCTGTCTTATGGAAAGTTTAACAGTAGTTTTGCAACAGGGAAAGCAGCAGAAGCTTAAATTCAGGGAAACAGTCATACAAGATGGACAGCTAAAGTGCATTCAGTGCACAGCAAACCAAACCCGGTTATCGGTCTGTGACTCTCAGTTTTTTCTTTGGTCACCTTTCTCTTTAATGCCAACGAGAATGGCGTGTTCTGGCTGGTTGTCCCTGTTTGCAATGTGCTAGTGCTGCCACTGGCTGAAGATGGTCCATTTGGGCCCGGAGACCGCAAGGCATCAAACACTGTGCACTATTTCAGATCAATCCTGTGCTGCCTTAAATGTCTGGTTACGTTGGATGTACAACCCTTTGAACAGCTTATTAATTTTATGCATGTTTTGCACTCTGCTTTAGCTATTTCTTATGTAGCGAAGCCACACTTCTGAGCGTGTGCTGCTATCCATAGAGTAGCAGTGGTTAATAATTAGGGAAATGCACTTGTAATTCAAAGATTGCTGGTTTGAATCCCTAACCAGCAAGGCACCACTGCGATACCTTGAGCAAGGTACTGCTTCTGGGTGCTGAATTAGCTGTCCCCTGCTATGTCACATATGGGTTAACGGCAGAGGATACGTTTCAGCGTTGTATACTGTGTGCTGTTATATATCAACTTTGACCTAGTGGTAGTTCATTTATATAGCACCATTCTCAGACAAAGGTCACAGAGCGCTGAACAACAATCCAATACAAAATGAACAAAACACAGACATTACCAATAAAAATATCAGGAACTACTCAGCATGGATTAAAAGCCTGTTTAAAAATAAATGTTTTCAGTTGTTTTTTAAAGGAATCAACACACTCAGCTGCGCACAGACCGTAAGGTAGGCGGTTCCACAGTCTTGGTGGCACGGATGCATGAGACTGGCATGCATTCTAGCCTGCACTATTTTTTAAAAACAATTTGCCAAGGGCGGTAGTTGGGAGGTTTTACGTTAAATAAATAGCTGACAAATGATTGAATTGATGGAAGTAAAAAAAAGCCAAAACACCATGTGAAAAAAATGTGTTTATTTTGGCTGACCTGAGGCGATTTTACTGTGCTATCCCATTAGCTTCGCATGTAGTACAGTATATAACCCTCTGTGGCGTAAGGCCTTCTGAGACACTATGGAGATGCCTTGACTTGCTCTGACTTTTCTGTATATATCAGCAGCACAAAGATAACGATCCAGTGTGAGCTATATTTTTGTTTTTAGTACAAATACAGCTACAATAATATGGTTCTAGTATTTTGCAAGACGTTAAGTTTCTTTTTTTGTAAGGGCAGCGTGTGGCTCAGTGGGCTACGCCTCTGTGCTTGTAAGCAAAAGGTCACCAGCTTAAACCCCTGCCTCAGCACGTCTGCGGGTCCTTGAGCAAGGCCCTTAACCCCCAGCTCCCTGGGCGCCGCTGTGGGTGGCTGCCCTTCACAGACAGCTTACTCTACAAAAAAAAGAGCAAGTTGAGGGAGGTGTAAAAAGATCAACAAAAGTATCAGTTATTATTATCAAACACTGATTTTCACAACATGCTAGAATAATGTCAAAAATCACAAACCAGTTGAATACCCGTAACGATTCGTTACAGCCTGGTATTCGTTACTTATGTACTCGATACTACTCAAATCTACACCACTAATACGCAGGGTGGATAAGTATGAACCAGCCTTAAGTCAATATTATGCCGTATGTCTCCAAAGCCATAAAGTTTTTTCTACTCTTGCATGTTTAGCAAAAGCGTTAAACGTTATTCTGCTGATACTGTTTTTATTACATGCTTTAAACATATCAATGTGATTGTTTGCATTCTTACGGACTCCGAATTCCGTAAATATGGGACCAGATTTTACCATTACATTTGCCGGTACTCATGTATTTGTTTTGCTTGTTGAGACTACTTTAAATTGTGTTTTTCGTTTTAGTTAAAGTAGAAATATTTCATTTGTATCGAAACGTAAATCGTGTTAGTTGTTTTATCTGGAATAAATTCACCACAGTCTGTATGGTCAGAACGTTTATTGAATAAGGCTGTTAAAATAACAGAAATGATGGTGTAATCTGGGTATGGGAACCAGGAAATAGAACAGAAGACTTCAGGCCATTATGTAAACCCATCCTTTACATCAAAAAGGAGAAGCAGTGTGCACTATGGTAAGTTTGTCATGCAGCTTGTATAATACAAACCTTAAACATTATATCATTAAATATGGTTTTAAAATAAGGTTTATATATTTTAGCACAATATTTTAATGATCTATTATGTATTTGGTTTTCATAATTTGTCACACTTTTTGGGGTACAATTTGGCGTTTATAATGATGTGAAGTATAGAATTATACACATAAAATACATTTACCAACATGGGGGAGTGACTCAAGGAATAGGAGTTCGGTCTCATAATCCCAGACAGAGCCTGTGAGTTTTATTACAGTCCCTGTCTCTGCCTGTTTGGGTGAATTGCTGTCTCTAAATTGCCCATCTCATATGATTGTGTCCACTGCGATGGACTGCCATCCTGTCCAGGACACCCGCTACACCGTGCTTCCTGTGATAGGCTCACTGTGACATTACACTGGATATGTTCTTAAGGAAAATTGATATTTACAAGGAGGGCTGTAGCCGGGGTTTGAGGGGGGGGGGGGGGGGTTAGAAAAAGGGACCTGCTGCTATTTGCAACAAACTTTTTATCTTTCATTGGGTTTTAAATTTAAATTACACCAACTTCATTGTTTTGGCACCCTAACCCCGCTACAGAAACCACTAACATTCTATGGATATATATGTGTCTGTTACTTTAAAGCGGATCACTTTGGTTTGTGTGTCCCCACAATGTGATTAAAATCCGGTAATTTTGACCTTGTGGGGACATGTTTTTTGTTTGTTTTTGGTCCTTGCAAGGGGAAACTCAATTGAAAATCTGTTAACCGGAAAACGATAAAATGCCAAAAGTTTAGCTACTTATGGTCGAGGTTGTCATAGTTGGGATTAGGTTTATGCTGATCTGTATGTGTGTGTGTGTGTGTGTGTAGCGCACACGTGTTTTGTGTAAAGAAATATGCTACAATTAATCATGGACAGATTTCGAATATTTAACATATTTCCTTACCTTCTGCTGTACCACGTAACTGTTCATAAAGTTTTTTTTACAGATAACGGCGCGACGCTGCTTGCTTTGTCTTACCGCCTGCTATGCTGTTGGCCACTTCCCACGCGTGCCTGCTACAGTGCTGTTGCCAAAAAGCATAAATTCCAAATGCTGTCAGTGGAAGTGCTGACGCAAGCTAGCTCTGCGCTCGCGGGCGCCCTCTCCCACAACTCTCAGCGTACAATAATGAACAAGTCTGAACTAAAGGCACCCATCTCGGAGGAGATCGAAGTTCTCAGCCGCAGATTTTTTTATCGAGTTGTATCTTGCTTCGATCTTTTCCCCCCAACTCTAAAAATAAATGACATCATAGCTGACTACGAGCATGTTTACGCGGAGTCTGCGCATTGAAAATCACGTTTTACGTTATAGAATATATTTCTATACACACAATATGTATTTGTGTAATAAGACACTAGTGTTATGAGATGTGGTATTCTTGGAGTGATTTACAAATGTATGATGTACAAGAAACCAAGTGGCAGGAGTTGTATCTTGCTTCGATCTTATTCCCCGAACTCTTAAAAAAATGACGTCATAGCCGACTACGAGCATGTTTACGCGGAGTCTGCGCCCTGAAAATCACGTTTTGATGTGCACGTTGGCCATCTAGTGGTTACTTCTAATTGTAGCTGTTGTAAATTTAATTCACAAGCATATTGCACATAATCCATACATGTTTTTGCTTCCATGTAACGCGGTGTGCGTGTTTTAGCAAAAGGTTGCAGAACCAGGTTAAAGACAACCTTGCATTGTGTTTCACTTTCTCAATATTATTATTTCGGTGACGATTCCTTGAAGAATGTTAATCTAACTGAATACATAGGTATGCACAAATCCAGAGACTTAATCTGAACTGGTTTGAAAAAAGAATTCAGAACAGCACATGTATATGCATTTGTAGGATATTTTATTGTAATCGCATATCCCAAAGACGGATCTTTTCCCTCCGCAACTTATGAGAAAACATAAAAAAAAAAACAATCACACCACACATCTCCCCCACAGTGACAATACCAAACAATATATTCCATTACAACGCCACCCATTGTGAATGATTCATTGTTCATGCGGTTTTAATCCATAACTAGGAATGAATAAAATTATTATTGTCTTGGGGCAACTGAGCAATGAATTGTCTGTCTGAACAGGCATAGTCAGTACTACCTGGTTACTAATGGGTTATGCTCTATGACCATCGCTTAGAGTTTACTAGCTCTTTCATCCACGTGTTATTTATTCAAAGCATTGTAATTGTGCCAGACTAAAATCATTCCAAAAAACAGCACCCTTAGAATGTATTGTACATTGTGGCATGCATCCAAGCCACAATTTAAGGAAAATGCAGTCTAACAGCATGACACAAACCTGAGAGGAGACGGTCACACCCCTAACTGAGTACACCCAAGGTTCCATGTCTTCTGCCCCTCCAGTTGCTCAGGGTTGACATGATGGCGAGGTATGCAGACAAGATGGTTAGGCAGGACTCAAGTGCTTCAGATGACCTAGCGTGACCCAAAACAGGCTTAGGAGAACTACAAAAAGAATCTAAAACATTAAGCAAATTCAAAAGGAAACCAAACCACAAAAACCTAAACCAAGAATTCAGACCGCCTAGGCTGAACAAAGATGCATCGATCAGAGGGACCTTCAAATGATTGATTGGTCGATTGATTTACTGATTAAGTGCAGTTGAGAATGATTTCTGCGTGGTTCCGCGTAAACATGCTCGTAGTCAGCTATGACGTCATTTTTTTAAGAGTTCGGGGAATAAGATCGAAGCAAGATACAACTCCTGCCACTTGGTTTCTTGTACATCATACATTTATAAATCACTCCAAGAATACCACATCTCATAACACTAGTGTCTTATTACACAAATACATATTGTGTGTATAGAAATATAGAAATATATTCTATAATGTTTGAGTGTCCGCCTAGTATATGGTACATCTATGTTTTATGTCGCATATTCTAAATGCTGCTCTAATTCATGTTCATATAAATATATTGTATATATCTCTATATACAGTATCATATTTTTTTTGCACCTAGAGTTATTTGTATGGTATATTTGTGTGCTATGTAATGATATAGGTTTTATACAACAGGCAAATCAACAAAAAAGACCAGAGTGCGGAAAATATCAATTCAACTGAGAAGCAAAACAAAAAATATACTTAAGAAATGCCAAAACCAAGGTGTTTGTTCTTATGTGCCTTTGTGGAGAACATCTGTGGAACTTATAGCTTTAGGATTATGGTCCATGTAAACGGGTGTTCATTGTTTTAAAGAAAAATGACTTTGCCTCAAAGACAGAAAAGACAAAAAAAAAACCTACAATGTGCTGTACACGCACTCTCATCATTATATTATAAAAAAAAATGTCTTTATTCTGGGCCGGGGGTTATCTTTATCTTTTACTGGATGACACAGCTGCAATTTTTACAACATAATTTCTCATTTTATAGATTGAAGCGAAGAACATCCACCATGCAATTATCCAGGTAAGAAAGAACAATCTACACACAGCTCAAACATAGTTATTAATTATAATTAATAGGTGTTGTGAAGTCAATGTCAACTCCTGGTAACTACTGTAGATCTATATTTACCCTATTTCTCCAGAATATCTTTTGTCTGGGTCTTCAGGCTTACCAGTTATAGAAATTACTTAACAGGGGATCAAACTATGGTAGTAACTTGATACATCAATGCAGTTGATATTCTTTTGTCCACACAGGCAGTCTCATCAAACACTCTGCTGTCGTGTCTGTTGGCTACTGCAGTCTTGGTCGCATTAGGGTGGTACATGAAGGACTCTCTGAAAATTGACGATATTCAGCATAAGTATGTGTTTGTAACTGCCTGTGACAGTGGCTTTGGCAATCTGCTCGCCCGGCAGCTCGATCGGAAAGGTTACAACGTGGTCGCCGCATGCCTGACAGAAAAGGGCGTGTCGGAACTACAGGCCTCCGCTAGCTCCCGACTGAAGACCGTTCTGCTCAATGTTACAGACAGCGCCTCCATTGACATGGCTGTGGAGCTGGTGCATGCCGAGGTCGGGGAGAGAGGTGAGACAAGCAGAAGCGTGAGAGATAGAGGTGCCAGTTAGAGTCAGGCACTGTGAGAGATAAGATAAATTTCAGAGCTTGACAACTGTACGTTGTTTTAAAATGATCATAGTTATCTTTCACCTGTTGCTTGCATTTTTAAACAAATCCTTACCTTTGCAACACAAAGGTATTTTTATAGCTGCTGCCTGTGCTAATTAGATATTCGAAAGTAATTAATGTAGGTTGTCTTATTAATTCAGGTCTTTGGGGTCTGGTGAACAATGCTGGGAGGTCTATACCCATTGGTACTTCAGACTGGATGCAGATGGAAGACTTTAAGAAGGTCTTGGACGTGAACCTCATAGGGTTGATCGAGGTCACCCTCAAATTGCTTCCGCTGGTGAAGAAGGCCCGAGGCAGAGTGGTTAACATGTCTAGTGTCCTTGGGAGACTGGCTATAGTTGGGGGGGGCTATAGTGTTTCCAAATGGGGCGTGGAAGCCTTCTCGGACAGCCTGAGGTGGGTCAGCTGCCTTCCTTTTTCCATTCTTATGGTGTGTATATACCTTACTTTTACAGCCTAAGGAAACATTTAAACCAAACGTAAAATACTTACCCATGTTGTTTATTCACACTGTATCATGACGGGTATTGCAGCCTCATACATCCAGGGTTTTCGATTCCCGTTCCTGTTTCTGTGTGCCTGGATTTTGTATGTTCCCTCCCTGTGTTCCTGGGATAGACTCCAAGCTCAGTGCAACTCCATACTGGATAAAGAGTTATGGAAGCCCCATCCATTAACTGCTAACTGCTTATCCAGTACATGGCCACGAGGGGTGGGGGGGTGGAGCCTGTCTCATGCAGCAGATGGTGTGTGGCCAGGGGTGCACCCTGGAAGGGATAACGATCTGTTGCAGGGATTACGGAAACTACAAATGGAAATTGTATAGTCAGTTTAATATTCACATCCTTAAACATGACATTATTAGACCTACAGCTAATTAATACAATGCTATGATGTCCAATTCCTAGAAATTTCCTTTGGAAGTTTCAGCTTTTATGTACACTTATAATGGAACTAGTTTTAATATATTGTTATATTCAGTGTCCATTTTGATATTTATACTTATAATGATTTATTACTTTTAATGCAATATTTCCATGTATGTATTTGTGATACTCAGGAGGGATATGCGGTTTTTTGGGGTGAAAGTCAGCATCATTGAACCAGGTTACTTTAAAACGGGGGCAACTGACATGGATGCGACTGAGGCAGATCTTTGGCGACTGTGGAACCAGCTATCGGCAGAGGTCAAGTCTTCGTATGGCGACCGCTATATGGAAAAATGTGAGATAACACGCTTTCCCTGTGACAGAAGTTATCTTAAGAATTCTTTCAGTTGTAAACTAGGCCAGTGAGGTACAGGTGATCCTTCTAGGTTATGCAGTACTTTGGAAATATTTTTTCTTGGTATCTTTTACCCAGCAACTATTTAAAAGGTTCTTTTTCTGTTAAGTTATTCTTGTACAGTGCTGAAAACTTCAGACAGATATATACACTGTAGATCTGCTTTCCTGTCTAAACATTAACTTTAACACTATCACTAACTGTTATAATTTTAGTGTTTGAATACATTGCAGTACTAATATGCTTTGGATGAACAAATTCTGTATGATGTAACGCGTCCTTCTACTACTGAGCCAATCATGTGACTTTTGCATCACTCCAGATCTGCAAATGCAGCAGTATCGCATGGACATGCTATGCAGCACAGATCTCTCCAAGGTGACTTGGTGCATGGAGCATGCCCTGACAGCCCGACACCCCAGGACACGCTACGCCGCTGGCTGGGATGCTAAGATCATATGGATTCCTCTCTCCTACCTCCCTTCATCCATAACCAACTTCACCTTGTATATTCTCCTCTCACCCCATTTCAGAAAATGAGCATCGTTCCCATTGGCTTATGCTGATCATTGTTCTTCGAAAGTGTTTTTGTCTTTATGTGCTGTAGCGTAATGCATGTATTTCTTCCACAAATTTCATTCACGAAAGTGAAAATGTATGGAGGACAAAATGTGAATTAAAAACAAATATATAAATAATCTTCGGCATAAAATAAATAAATTGTGGGTATAAATAAATAAATCCTTCCCATAGATAAATAAATAACTCCAAAGATGTACTTATTTATTTTCTGGTTTATTTATTTCCAGATTTGTTGAAGTATGGTGCCACCTAGTGTTCAGTCCGCTCAGCTACTTCCCGATGCACCTTGTGGAAGCCATTGTGTGATTAGAGACAAGTTAAGATAACTAGTTAATCAGTTACTGTTGCTTCTGCCTGGTTTACACATCTGACCAATAGTGCTTTAGAGTAATTTTATGGCTGCCCACCTCATTAACATATAGATGAAGAAATCAATTAAAAATATGGAAATAAATACATTGTTGACCTATTATTCATTCATTTATTCTACAGATTTATTTCCACCAACTGTTTCATTTAATTTTGTTATGTTTCCTTTTCCATGAAACAAAATTATAGCGATTCTATACTGCATGACCATTTAACACCCTTAGATTCATTGTGTAGATGTTTAACTCAGTTTAACGTTATCCCCAATAAAGTGTAGCATATAACAAAGGTTATTGTAAGGTTTTCCTGATAAACGAGTAGCATTTATTTAATGGGGTTGATGCAAAGCTACCAGCTGTATTATATTTTGGAAAATAAATCCAGTGTTGCTCTCACCTCCCCCTACTGGCCAAGCATTGCCAGACGTTGAGACCAGGGCAACATTCAGGAGATTCTATGATAAAATAAGAAATTTATTAGATTTTTCTCAGCAGCATAATTTTGTCTTCCAGTTCCTGGTCTCTACCTACAAAGACATTTTAAGGTTTCATACAAAATCTTACCATTAATATACAAAAACGATGATTGCAGCATGGTTGGCTGTAATATCCAGTGTACATACATAGGCTGTGTCTGTATATGAGCTACAGTAAAGCATATAAATTGCTCACTGTGGACCACATAGCAACTACAGGGATAAAACTCTTGCTTAGTCGAACATACAGGAAAATGAAATGTTCAAGTATTGTTCTAAGTAACATTTCAATGAAATCATTAAACGTGTTCATTCTACATGATAAAAGTTACCTGTTCAGCTTTCTAAGATTTTATTACTTATTTATCCAAGCTCTCCAGCTATACTTTTGGCGGATCTGAAGAGGATGTTTAATTTTCTGTTCATTGTTTATATACAGTTGAGTATCACAGTTCAATAATATCCTTTAACTTGAATTATTTTGTGAAGACGATTGCTTTAAATGGCTTCAGAGTACTGCTCAACGGAGTCTAAAATGGACATAATTGCATTTTAAAATATTGCATATAAGAGTAAAGAAAGGAACTTTAAAATATTTGGCTGTGCGTGTTCAATATGAAATGACAGGAACACCCTTAATCTATCCTCAGAAAATTTCTATGATAAGAATCAAGAATCTAACAATGAAAATATCTTTGTTTTGTTTTTTGTCTTGTTTTCAGCCCAGTAATGAGGTATATAAACATGCAAGATGAAATGCATGCATTCATCTGTTCATGTCTGAAGTATGACCTTCGTTAAATAATATCTGTATGTTTATATATGCAATGCACTTCAGTCAAGAGTGACATCCTGTTCACGTGTAACTATGAATAAGATCATCTATTCCAAAATAGGTTATTTCCAGAGAATATTATTGACATAATCTTTCACAAATTTACAAATATACAGCATATTTATAACTGCTATCAGCCAGTTCAGTGCAAAGATATACATATAGTACATTGTAATAAAAAAAAAATCAACATGAGAATTGGCATAAGAAACACAGGCATTGTCAGCTCAGACCTCTGCAGTGCAGGCAATAGGAACTTTCATCGATTTTCCAAACAATCTTAGTTTCGTTCACAGGCTGCATATAAAAATAGATTCTGTGCAAAGGAGACTGTGTCCTTAGTTCTGCATTTGTGAACAGAACACATTACACATCACTGTCCTCCTTCACCAGGGTGGCCGTGTCTCCGAAGGTGTCCTCCGTAGGCGCGTACGCATTGGGTCGGTCCTTTTTTGGAGCTTTGGCAGGCGGGCCGAAGGGCGAGACCGGCTCGGAGCTGCCGTCCTCTCCGCTTTCCACCACACGCTCCTCTTGCATCTAAAGAGGGATGAACGTAGGGTCAGGGCAGGGTCAAACAAGTGTTTGTCCAAAATAATCTTGGGGAAAATGTTCTGCATTTACAAACAAAAGGATAAGGCGATGGCCTCACAGCCGGAACGAAAGACGGAACCAGAAACTGAAGGCTTATCCGGACTTTAGCCCTGGAAACGAGTTTCTAGCATAAAAGAAAACAAGGCTGTTGGTTCATAACATAGAGAGTAACAGGGTTGTCTTGCCTCTGAGTATGTAGGATTTTCGAAAGTGGTGCCAGGTTTCAGTTTCCTCTTAAATAAGCTCCACCTGGATTCCTACAACACAGACAAACCAAATCTTACCAAACACAAACAAAGATTTCAATCATCAAATCAATCAAAACGTAGACAATAATCGTAAATAATGTTAGCAGTAAAGTGACAGGTGGTAGTGCAATTGTCAGAAGAACAAAAAAGTCAATATTTACATAAGTAAAGTGTACCGTCAGAGTACTTATGGAAGCTGGACATTTATATACACTTAGAGTAGAGTGTAGCAGAACTTCAGTTAATGCATTAGATTGGGTGAGGTATTGTTAGGGTTTGGTTGACTGTCCCTACAGGAACACATTCGGTGCTGGGAGATGGAGTCTCCACCACGGCCGCAGGCTGCTCCAAGCAGTAGGTCGGGTTCTCATAATTGTTCTTCGCCGGGTCCCCACTCACATTAACGGTGACCTGTGTGTGTCGCAGAACATGCCGGTTTCAGTCAGCACCCGAGTGATTATTAACTCAAGCCGTCAAATGGCCTTCGACATGTGAACGCGTCAGGCGGAAGCCGGCTGCATTGCGTACCTGCGTGGCGTAGATCACGGCGGGGTCGCTCATGGTATTAGCGGCTGTGGAGTAGAGCGGGTTCTCGAACGTGACAGGCTGCTTGCCCCCTCCCGCTGCGAAGTTCTCGTCCTGTTGGAGACCAGAAAAGGTTAGCAAAGATGTTTCATCTCAGATGGGGCTGAAGAAGAGAAGCCGCCCATCCCATACATATTGTGACATGCTCCCGGGTGGTCAGTCTCGACATGGGGAGGGGGTGTCCCATATTTTGGCATGATTACCGAACACAAACAAAGATTTCAATCGTCAGATCGAACCAATCAAAACATATACAATAATCGTAAATAATGTGGAGTTAGCAGTAAGTGGCAGGTGGTAGTGCAATTGTCAAAAGAACAAAAAAGTCAACATTTACATAAGTAAAGTGTACCGGCAAACCTAGACTAGCATATTTGACCAACACACAGTCTTGACTAACACACAGTCTAGGCAAACCATCCAATCAGGGGTGTGGGAAATGGGCCAAACCATCCAATCTGGAGTGCGGGAACTGGGTCAAACTATCTAATCAGGGGTGTGGGAACTGGGGGGGTATGTACCCCCAAATATTTAATTTGGCTTCATTCATCCCCCCTATAAATAGCACTTTGCCTTTATATTAAGTCATACCCTCCTAATATCAAACTCCCTCCTACACCATTGCATCCAATCAGAGGAGAATTATCCGTCTCTCACTATTCACCCTCATTATTCATTATTCACCCAGTCACTCACTCACTCACTCACTCACTCATTCAATCAATCAGTGATGTAAAGCATATGCAAGTAGAAAAACCAAAACTACACATTTTAAACATGTCTTATCCAGCATTTATCCAACTTTTATCCTGAAGGATGAAAGTTTGACGGATCAAGGCTTGTCCTCCTGAAGAGTGATCATAAGGTTTCTGCTTGTGGCCAGTGACAGTCTAGTTACCACATGTGAAACCTTCACCCTTTGACTCCTCGGTCAAAATCTGCCAGACTCTGCAAGACTGCAGGATGCAGGGTATGAGGTCACTGATTGGGAGAAAATCTGGAGTTTTTCGAGGTGAGAAATACCATTTATATATTACTCCTGTTAATGCTAAAACGCGTTTTAAAGTCAGATAGGGGCGCGGAGGTAATTTACTGCAGGCCGTGGTCAAAGTGCTGATGCTGCAGGGAGCGGGACCATCACCGGACGCCTGCTTACCAGTTGCATGGCTCTGTCAATGACTGAGACTCCCACGGCTGGGGGGTCCAGGTCCATGGTGACGTCGTCGCCGGAGCGGAATGTCACGCCGTTTCCGGCATCGCTGGACTTGACCAAGCTGCTCAGACTGCCGAGAATAACGTGAACCTGGGTAAATGAAGTCCCCGTGGAGCCCCAAGTCCCACAGCAAGAACCACAGGATCTGAGCAGTACTGAAGCACCTCTGTCTATTGCACCTTCTCTCCTGCGTGATATGTGTGTGTATAGCATTCCTGCCTCACAATGATCTTGCTCTTATTTCTGGGCAATCACTGGAAGCTCAACCTAGCAGCACTTGCATCTAAGTTGGCTAATGGTGACAGATGCATGTTTGTTTTGCATTAATTGCCTCACTTGTAGGCTGGATATCTCAAATGTCCACCAGATAAATAAATGTGAATGTGAATGACATGCAGCTTTCAGACTTGTTAAAAGTGGTGAAGCCTAAAGGATAACGAGGAACCGTAGTATCCATGGTATTTCATTAAATTGGACTTTGGTTTACCGCGGTGTCATAATCCTTTAATGGAAGCATTTAAAATCATTCTTTTCACTAAGTAAACACAGGAACAGGTAGAGACAGGGATCTTTGGTAAGAAGAGCTGCAGCATTATTAGTGCAGGATTAGAAAACACAAAGGGCATGGACTCATGGGCAAGATGGGGGGGGGAGCAGTTTACCTGGGAAGTTTGGGCAAGGAGGGTATGAAAGAGCCAGTACGCCTGTAGTTGAAGAAGATCCCAACAGCCAGGCCTCCAGTGATCAAGATGACGATTATTACCAGGAGCACAGCGACTAGCAAGGGGACGAACGTTGGCATGGATTTGTTAGACTTAAAATTTTAATAAAAACTGGATTTGTAGGGGGTGCTGGCATCTTGTCCAGGGTGTGCCCAAGCTTTATGACTCAGGTTACAAACCTCCCCACAACCATGACTTGCATAACCGTTTAAAAGAACGATGGATGGATGGGTGGGTGGATGGATGGATGGAAGGATGGATGGATGGATGGAAAACTGATTTGTACATGTAAGTTCAGGACCAACAGTTCAACATACTTCATGGACTCATGGTAGCTTATTCACTTTATTTACATTTCAGCAGGTAGCTATTACGCAGAGTAACATAACCAAAGGACAACATAAAGTTATGGTTTGCACGCATACCTATCCCTGAAGGTGCCCCACTGGACTTCCCCATCTCACAGTAGCTGCCCGCATAGCCGTACAAACACCTGTTTGTTGAAAAAGGGAAACCATTTATTCGCAGTTATGGGTGTTTTATTGTCCGTGACATATGGATATTCTTGGGACCGACTGTTGGACCCACTTGCACTTGGGGGGCCCATCCTCTTCGGTGTAGCATGTCCCGCCATTCATGCATCGACATGGAGCGGGCAACAAAACCGGGACCTCTTTAGCTGTGGGGGGTGGAAGAAAAGTTACACCAAAGTTGCCCCCAACACGGTGAAAAAACAGGCCCTGCAAGTGGTGATTCCTGCTCTGGTGGATGTGAGGTTGCGACCCGTAAAGGTAATCTCTCTTAATCCATTTAACGGGAATTGTTTACCTGCATCACACTCGTTGGGGTTGAAGCTGACGGGCAGGGAGCCCTGTGGGCACGCACAGGTGTAGCCCCTTGGGCGTAGCAAACACAGGTGACTGCAGACATCCTTGCATGGGTTAGGCACTGATAGAGGGCAGATAGTTCTTGTCATATTCTTGGAAATATAGGGCAGGTGGAGAAGTCCACCCTCACCTAAGTTGCTACTGTCATCTCCTCCTTACTCGAGTGATGATGCTACATATCGCTAATCTCAGCGGTGATGTCATCGGTCCTCGAAGCATTCTGTACCTGAGAGGTTGCGCCTGTGCTCTTGGTAGATGCGCACTTGGGTGAGCCACGGGTTGATCGTCAGCACTTTCACTTTGTCCCCCTTCCCGAATTTATTTTTCTTCCACACCTCGCCCCGCTCTCTCGTCGTCCAGTAGATGTGTCCCTCAAAGACGTCTAGGCTATAGGGGTTACCGATGTCTGAAGAGAGATGGGATCACGGTGAAAACCTCTTACGACAATACGTATTATATGGGGACTTGAACAGCAGATCATTCCGGAATCGTGTCATTAAGCCATTACCTCCTGATATTATAATCTTCCTGTCTGTGCCGTCCGCCTTCATGGACTCGATGGTATTCTCTTTGGAGTCGCACCAGTATATCCGGTCGCCATTGACGTAGTCTACGGCCAGCCCAGTGGGCCAGCCCAAGTCCTCCTCCACCAGGACCTGCCGGTGTTGCCCATCCATCCAGGCCGACTCAATCTTGGGCTTTCTTCCCCAGTCTGTCCAGTACATCATTCTGTCCCAAACACAACAGTTCTTGACACTTATTATCCACACCAATAACTAATAGTGACAGCATATAATAACAAAAGAACAGCATAAAGTCACGTCCACTTGTCTGCTTATGAAAAATTAAAATGCAAAGTTACCAAGTTTTCAGTAACTGCAGTTTCAGTTATCCATGATTTACCACAGTCTGGAAAGCAATATATAAATTGTGTAACAATATGCTTTTTAATTGGTCCTTCGTCCTTTGAGGGGTATAAAGAGCATGATTTTCATTGCTCTGCCATCAATTGATACAAGATACTGCAGAGTACTGTACACTATATAATGTACTTTATTATTATTGTAGCGAATGTTGGTATTGTCTTACGGTGAAATCGTGATATATGGGGTCCGTGGATGCTTCACTATTATCCGCGGTTTCGGCTGTCCGCAGTGCGTCTTCAAACGCACCACCCGAGGATAAGGGGGTAATGTTCTAATATCAATAGGTATTTTACGTTAATCCTACGAATGTCATTCGACTTTGTACTCACCCAAGTGCTGGATTGACCACGATCGCAGCAGGCTGGTCAAGCTCCGTGTGGATCAGCCACTTCCTGTACCGGCCGTCCAGCTTCGCCACCTCGATCCTATTGGTCCCCGAGTCGGTCCAGTAGACGTGTCTGCAACGTGAACGGAGGCAGTGACGCGAGTGCGGAACAACAAACGCGACGGCCAATCCGGAAGACTCCGTGCCGCAGGCCATCAGGGCTACCCGCCGATCCAGTCGACTGCGATGCCGTCAGGCTTGGAGATGTATCTCAGGTTGAGGTCGACTTCCTTCACGGGGTTGTTGCCATTGTCGATGAAGGTGGGCATGTAGGCACGTTTGATAGCTCCAAACTGGGAGCCTCTGCCCAGCACTGTCCAGTAAACGATACCTGTGGAAACAATCCTCAGCTCAGCGTGCAGAAAACCTACTATTGTACTAAGGTAACTAAAACCACGGCTGACAACATTTATCTGTATATTTCTGCCCCAAACTTTAACTACCTTATTCACTGATTATTGATTTATTTTCATTAATGAAATCTAATACTGCATGGAATTTGTGAACCTGATAGTTAAAAAGGAGGAGTGTGATTGCATCTGTTCATCAGGAAATAAACTTACAACATGATGTTTTACCTTCTCAGACAACTGATCAGTTTGTCGACAATGTAATACAACCAAAATAAGGATTGGGTCTGGAAAACAACTAGCATTCCCTTTGTGAGGCGGATACATGATGTAACTGGTCTGGATTCTCAAATACAAGAACTTGTGGCCATAGGTGGAAATTAGCAGGAGAACATTTTAAACTGAATTTGGGAGGGGTTTATAACTGTTATCATCTGATACCCTAACCCACATTATAAACCCCTCCTACCCCTCGTGATAAACCCCCACTATTCAACATTTTGTTCATAAAAGGGCTGAAAGCAAGTTCCGAAGCATAACAGAAGCACCATCTACTGGGATCAAAACACACAGGTTCCCGCAGCTTCATTTGCCTATTGCTAGTATTGGGAGTAGCTGAGTCCGAGCGACGCTGCGGCAGACAGGCTGTCTTACTGAGACCGGTGTCCTCTGGGTCCCACGAGTAGTCCAGGGTCTGGATGTGCTCGCTGTTCTCCACGTAGTCGGAGAACTGCTCCGAGGAAAGGTTGAAGCGGCGGATGCGCACGTTGTCCGGCAGCAGGAGGGCTGGGGGGTTGCCTTGGGGAGGGCGTGGGACAGGTTTTGGGGAAAGTTAGGCGATTATCATCCTGAATTGCACGGAAAACATAGATTATTGTTTATAGTGGTGGTTCCGGCAGACATGACGACCTGGGGTGAAATCTGAGCCAACTGCTCAGATATGCAGGCATGTGGATGCCCAACGGTGCCCCTCAAATAATGCCACCCACCCATTTTCCATACCCACCTGTCCCATGCAGGCACCAAGCCAATGCAGAGCATACACACCATTCACACACAAGGGCAATATAGGCAAATCCAGTTCATCTTAGTTTCTTTTTGGACTTTGGGGAGGGGGCGTGGACTGGAGAACCCAAAGGAAACATGGGAGGCCACGAAACATACAGGCATATAGCTGGGGCTGAGACTCACAGCCCGGTCCTAGAGGGAGGGGGGCGACACTGCCAGCCACTGTGCCACTATGCTGCCTCTTGGCAGGATCCACCCACGATTATTTAGAAACACCAACCCCCCTCCAACAAACACACCCCAAACCAGTGATTCTCAATCCTGTTCCTGGTGCCCCCCCCCCCCGCTAGAATGTTGTCATCCCAGCCCTAACTGAATCAGGCTCACATGGTCCTTAATAGACTAATAATAATAGGCTAATAATGAACGTGGCAAGTCGAAAGCATCGTGGGTTGGAATGATGGCACATTCTGGCAGAGTGGCTCTAGGAACAGTATTAAGACCTATTGCGCTAAACAAACACTCCAACCGAGCATGATCTGACCCCGCACTGATCCCCACGCCCCCCCGGGTGCTCACCCTCAGCGGCGCATTGCACCCCGTGCTCCTCCCCGACGGAGCGGAAGCCCTGTGAGCACAGACACTCGTATCCTCCCTTGGAGTTCCTGCAGTTCTGCGGGCAGCTGCCGAAGACCTCGCACTCGTTCACGTCTGGGAGCAGAGCGTAGGGGTCACGCTGGGTCACAGCGCCGTGCCCGGTGGACAGATCGGGTCGGCAGCGGCGGCGGGAGGAAGGGCTCACCCTCGCAGCTGTTCCTGTCAGTCTGGCTGGGCCTGAATCCAGGTCCGCAGGAGCAGATGAAGCCTCCTTCTGCCAAGTTGGTGCAGTTGTGCTCGCAGAGGTTTTCGCTGCAGGAGCGGCTGCTGCCCCTGTCTGAGAAAGAACAACATGCGACAAACTGCTGCAAAGCCATAAGTGTGGCTATAACCTGTGACAACACTGCCCCACAAAGGCAAAACACAGTAACTGCAGGTTTTAGAAAAATGGCAAAAATCAGGTCTTGAAAATTGGCCGCACATTTCAAACGAAACCAATGGAAATCAATGTTGTTTTAGCTATACTATGTTGCATGTGATCACCATTTTGGCGTTCTGCCTGTGCAGGGTCCCTGAGGCAAACTTATAAACCACTGTACAGTATATGATTGGCTGACATGATTGGCTGATTAGCAGAACTAATTATGCAGCTACCAGCATGCTTTGCACCACACAGCCCGTATCTGTAAATAGTCTAAATTAATAAGTGTATTTGTGTATTTATGTTGTAAATAATAATTGTCCTAACTGTGTAATATTTTTTTTGTAGAATGTGTCTGTTTCATTAGTGTGTAACTGGGGTTGTTGAACTAATTGTTGGCGTCCCAGTCTGTGCCGCTGCGAGTGGAAAAACATTAGTGGCTGTGAATAAACACAGTAGCTTCCATTTTAAAAGAGCTGTCATCTCCTTTATTAAAATGACTCACGCACGCGCCACAATAAGTTCGTTTGTGCTCTCGAAAACATTCTGCGCCCTTTAGGGCTGTGGCGTGACAAGGTGACATTGTTTTTAGTTTGCAACAGATTGTTTCATTTTCTCCAGACGTCGTATAAAGTGTTCAGTTACCTTTAGGCTCCATTTTATTTCGTGACAAAATGTCTCAGTTCAGTTACTGTGTTATGCCTTCGTAGGTCCGAATAAATTACACGTGTTTATCTGCATTACACACATACCTATCCACTACTGAAATGCATGTATTACAGCTGAAAACAAAGTCTTAAAGAATATAGGGTATATGCTGTTCTTATTATGTTTGTCTGTGTAAACTTGATTTTTAGACCTGCAAAATGTGACTGTCACCTGACTTAAGTCCCTGGGAAAGTGACCTCCTCCATGCCCAGCTTTCATATTTTGAGTAATTCCCAGTTATTCTCCCAAACCCCAATCCTGCCCTCAGCCACAGTCTTTCCGTGACCCAACGCCCATTTCCGCCCTATTCTTACACTGAAACTACAGTCTCTCATTTCCGGCTGCCTTTGTCACACCTGCCTCCACTCCTAGCTCCGCATTAAATCCTCGATCCCCACGTGACACGGCTCAATTCTCTGTCCTGCCCCGGGCGAGTGACGCTACACGATGTGCCATATTCTCCACACGCATTCTCATGTTCTGTGGCAAAGATGATGTGTTTGTTTTCGCTTTTAGCCAATAGCCTGAACGGTGCCTTTGCAAAAGCGTTACTCACTGCAGCCCAGCTCATCGGACTGGTCTCCACAGTCATCGAAGTCGTCACACACATAGTGCAGCGGAATGCAGTCCCTGTTGCTGCATTTGAACTCCTCCACTGAGCAGGGCCCGTGGGTGGGGGCCTGGCCTGGGGGCACACAGGCAGATGGGGGTGTCATCAGGAAAAGCCACAGATTTCCCTTCTGATGGAGAACAATATGGACAAGTAATCAAGGCCAAAGATGTCTGTTTAAAGATAAGAGGCAACCATCCGCCTGATTTGGATGCCAGAGAGGACATCCCTTAAAGAAAACCCGCCCACAGACGGTAGGGGAGCGGCTGATTGGTCAAAGATGTCTGTTTAAAGGTAAGAGGCAGCCATCCGCCTGATTTGCATGCCAGAGAGGACATCCCTCAAAGAAAACCCGCCCACAGACGGTAGGGGAGCGGCTGATTGGCCCACACGCACAGTGCTCCGGCCTCTCGTCGGTGCCGTCACCGCAGTCATCCAAAGTGTTGCACAGCTCGTGGCTGTATATGCAGCGGTTGTTATCACAGCGGAAACGGAATGGGGGGTTGCAGGGAATATCCACTGGGGGGAGGGACAAAGAAGGGTAACCTTAGTTACACCAGCAAATGTTTCGCCACAAACTAGAACTAGTAATTTCATCTGTACAATCCATACTTTTCGCAATATTTTTGACCTTAAACACAAAGCAACCATTCAAACAACTACAATTCAAACAAAACAAAAACTTTGTAAACGAAACATATTTACTATGAAATTCACTAAAGCATTTATCTGTAAGAACACGACATCTGTGCAGTTGCTAAGATACGCAATACTTTCTTGTTTAAATTGCTGCAGTAGCTGATAAAGGAAGGTTAGTAATATGGCTGGCGGGATGGGGGCTGTCCTACAGCAGGTGTGGAGCTCCTCGTCCGAGCCGTCTCCGCAGTCGTTATCCCCGTCGCATTTCCAGTGGGACTGCAGGCACACGTGGTTCCTGCACTCGAAGAGGAATGGCGGGCAGTACGTTCCGTTGGGGTACCGGGTCGCTGCAGGGATGAGACGGACAGACAGCGTCCTCCCACTAATGTCTTTACCAAATATGATGCAATATTTGTTGCGTCTCACAGGGATGCTAATCGGCCATGGAAACCCTGTACTTTACAGGGGCTCTTGAGGGTCCCTTATGGTAGGAAGCACATTTTATCATCTTGTATTTCTTCACACTGAAAGAGGGAACCCTAACGAGGGGGTCGACGTGACATTTTGTCATGGGGCCCACAATTTCAGTTAGTGTCGCGTGACCTAAATGGCGCGTCTGGTGACGGCTACGATCGTTGACACTCACGGCATGCCGCCTCGTCAGAGTAGTCCACGCAGTCAGCGTTACCATCGCATTGGAAGTGCTGTGCAATGCAGTGGCCGCTGTTGCACTGGAAGTATCCCGGGTTACATGTCCGCAGTTCTGCAGTAGAGCGTCAGCGTATGAGATTATTTGATTGATTCAAAATATTCTTAACCCTAGAATGCACGAGCAGGAGGTCACGCAACGACTTACTCTGCTCATCCTCTGCTCAGGATTGTGCAATCACGGGAGGATCTTAAACAGGGTTCTGGCCACGGGATCTCCACTTACCACAGTCCCTCTCGTCAGAGTTGTCCCCGCAGTCGTTGTCATGGTCGCACACCCAGCGGCCGGGAATGCAGTGCAAGTTGTCACAGCGGAATTCGCTCTCTGTGCAGGAGCGGGGGCCTGAGAGCAAATGGGGGTACGATTCTGAAGGGTTAGGGCCTAAATGGGACCCCTAGCATGTATGTTTCAGCGGGTTAGGACACTGTGTCTGTGATTGGAAGGTTGCTAGTTCAAATTCTCCCAAAGGCCGGCACAGTGATTTCACTATTGGGCCCCAGCACAAGGCCCTTAATCCCCAAATGTTCCAGGGACTGTCTGACCTTGTTTCACAATTGTATGGTCACCTTGGATAAAAGCATCTGATAAATAAATAAAAAAAAACGCACGCTGCTCTCCCACTGGCTTTCACAACTCTCACCACTGACATTTATCAGTGAGGGCAGAACACTCCTCACTCTGCTTCTGCTCTTTTTGCCTCACCCAACTACGAGTCAATCTTCTCTTACTTTATTGCTTTTTAACCGCATTCAAGCAGTTTTCCTTCAGAAATCACTCACGAGGACTCCAGCATCTGCATTCACCTGAAGAATCACCATTACCGGTCTGAGCACCTGCATAGCCATCACTGAGAGATCCGGCATCCAGCGAGAAATAACTGAATAAATGATTGCCATCAATCGTGAAAGCAAACAGTGTTCTGTCCCCCCTGGCCATATTTCCCCGCTGAGTTCATATAATTCATTAGCGGCGTTATCTCTGTGAATTACATGGACAGATAGGGCCAGAGCAGCAGGCAGTAAAAGTCCAGGCACAGCGCAGGGAGCGACAGGGTGATTTATTCCGGGCCGTCTGTTATCGCACGGGGTCCTGCAACTGCCGTCATCAGGTCGCACGCTTACAGACTTCCTTACATTCCCCGGTGAAAAGGTGCCCGACTCCTTCGCCACCTCCCTCGAAGCGTTCGAGACGAGCCGTTTCTAAAAACAAGCCCTTAACGCCGAGCAGCGTGGGGGCAGGAGACAAGTCACGCTAAACCTTCTCACCTAGTCGAGCTTCCCGTCAGACAACGGGAAACGCAAACTCTCCTGCTGAGCATGGTGGTGCAGCGTGATCAACACGTATATTTCCAGTTATACCTCATCCTGATGTGCAGTGACCTTACAGCCAATTTCTCACAGAATTCACACAATTTCACATTCTCTCTGTTTGCATTATCCTTGTATCGTATTTTTGTCACAATCACCAAAATAATAATTTCCAAACCTAATTAATTCACAATTAATTGTATTTATCACATTTGTTTGTAATATATTTGTGATTGGTTAGATGCCAACTGCATTTAATTGGCTCTGCCTGAACTTCAGCACAATTTAAGTTGGATGTAAACTGAATAAAAAATCTAATCCAATTTCAGATTTTTCAGTTATTTCATTTACAACTTTCCTCAGCTGATGCCTATTATCAGGGGTAAGTTCCTCAGTTAATATTTTAATTCTTTGTTTCAGGTTATTAGGAGAAATGTTGTATAAACCCAAGGTCCAAAAGAGCACGGTTACTCATTACTGATGTCTTTTATAACAAGAAGCCTCTCACTTTTAATGATTAAAGTTTCTGAGTGAGAACGCAGAGAGCAGCTTCCTGGCATGGCTGACTTAGACTTTTTTTGCTGGTTTCTTGGTTAATGCAGCTTGCTTGAGTGCGAGGCCGCGGCCAGGAGTGAGGTCAGGAGGTCATAGCCTCTCCACCTTGTACCGGTTTGGCGGCGGGGCTTACTGCAGGTTCGCTCGTCGGAGCCGTCGCCGCAGTCGTCGTCCCCGTCGCATTTCCAGCGCAGGGGAATGCAGTGGTGGTTGTCGCAGCGGAAATCACCCCTGGGGTTGCAGGTCAGCTCCGCTGAAGACGGGCAGGTGCACGGTGAGTACAGACACGCATGCAGAGGGACACGCACTTGTAAAATACATTCCTCACACCAGGGGGCGATGCTGGGTTACTGTGTTCTCATTCATTTTCATTCAAGTCAGGCACCCATCCGTTTTCATAAATTTCTATTGATTCTTTTGCCTCACGCAGAAAATACCTGCTTACACAGTACAGAGTAGTGAGTAAAATACAGAACACGAAATCTCAAAAACATCCAGCCCTTCCTCTTAATTAAAGCTGCGATTATTACCCAGAGCAGCAGGGAATCATGGGGGGGGGGGCATCCTGAGCGATGCCAGAGTTACAGGCGGAGGGGGAGGCTTGCGGAATAGTGCTGACTTGTTTGGCACATGGGTGAGATACTGGCAGCCTGGTAGGTTGGGATGACCCCCCCCGTGCCCCCCAGCACCCCGTCATCCTGCATTCTTACGGGCCGGCTAGCCGTGGATCTCCGCTCCGTCCCGGGATGGTGCTAATGAAGCGGGGGTCACTGATAAGCCCCGCAGCCGCAGGGAAGGAGGGGGGGGGGGGGGTCTCAGATAGGAGCCCAGGGTTCGCGTGCCATCGGAATCGCTGAGAGTGTAAACAGGGCAGCTCTGCTTGTGGTGAGCTTCCCACCTTCATTCATCTGAAGCTGTTGATTTAATTTGCATTCATTCCATAGTTGCCATCCCAGAATTCTCCTTCACACGCTAACATAAAAGCGGCAGCATAGCGCTTCAGCACTCCTGCTTCACAACTCCACAGTTGGAGGCTTGAATTCAACTCCCCAAATGTGGGGGGGCGACCAAAAGTGATTTAAAAAAAAAAAAACTGTTATTTTGACATTGCGGGGACCATTTTTCAGGTCCCCACAAAGATCTGTGAATGCAATTAAAAAACTAAAAATGTTAAGGTTAGGGCTAGGTAGGGGTTAAGGTCGTCATTTTGGGATTAGAGTTTTCCCCATAGAAATGAATGGAAAGTCCCCACAAAGATATAATTACAAACCTGTATGTGTATATGGGGGAGTAAGGAGATTGATGGATGCTAGTGAACAGACACTGGCTCTGATTGCCGGTTCCCTCAAAGGCATGGACTCACCACAGCCCTGCTCATCGCTCTGGTCTCGGCAGTCATCGTGTCCGTTGCACACAGCCCACAGAGGCACGCAACGGTAGTTGGTCCGACAGGCAAAATCGGTATGGTTGTCACAACGGTATGCTGGGCCCACTGCAAGGTAAATCAGTGGTTTAGCATGAGCTGTTAGAATGAAATGCTACCAAGAGCTATTAGTATGAGCGTAACTAATTCTTAAAGTCTAAGGCCCCATGTGATTGGTCAAGAGCACCCCCACCCGCCCACCACTCACTGCATTCGTCATGCGGCTCGTCCGAGTTGTCCCCGCAGTCGTCGTCCACGTCGCACTTCCACGTCTGGGGGATACACCGTCCGTTCCGGCACCTGAACTGGCCTGGGCGGCAGGTGCGGCTGGCGCAGTGGGACGGGTCCTCATCGGAGCCGTCGCCGCAGTCGTTCTCGTTGTCGCACTGCCACGCTTCAGGGATGCACCGCTTGTTGGCGCATTGCCACTGGTATGTTTCACACTGGTGCGTTGCTGCGTGCAGAGGGGATACGCTGTTGCTGTGGTCGCTTAGCCAAATAATTTTATTCCAAATTAATAATAATTATTAATAATCATTGTGTTCCCCTGACACTGCAGCCAATATACCTGTCTCATTTTCCACACCTTTTTTTAACTATTTCAAAATGATTCCAAAAAGTCCATACTCCTTGCTCCCCTTCCCACATCAGGTCCTCCTGCCTGCCTTCTTGCCTAGCGTTACCCCTTAAAAAGGTCCAACAGCAGAATCCTTGCTAGGATTGCAGCCCTTTGGTAAAAGCTGCAAATCTTTAACTCATTCCCCCACCAAAAAGTGGACACACACCACACAGTACGGGGTCCTCGTCTGAGCCATCGTGGCAGTCCCGCACTGCGTTGCACAGAAAGTGATGACTGGTGCAGTTGCCGTCATTGCACTGGAACTGGCCCAGTCGGCAGTGGCGTGCGGGGCAGGTGGAGGGCTCGTCTGAGCCGTCCCTGCAGTCCCGCTGGCCGTCACACTTCCACGAAATTGGGATGCATCTGCAGTACAACAGGAGGGGGACATGGGTAGTTGTGTATGGATCAGCAGGGCGGCGACACTGAGATTACAGGTCTTCATTATACTGTATAAGTGACTGTTATGAGATTAGTACTAATGTGCTGTAAAAAGGCAGGTCGTAATGGAAACATCCTTCATTTGGAGTCCTGCATGATCTATAATAGGTACACGCAGATTGGTCTGTAACGGGCAGCCGTAGGAACCCAATTGCTGGCTAAAAAAAACCACCCCCTCCACCCAGGTCAGCAAAAACTACCAACACCCCCCACCCCCCAGGTGGGCCACCAACACTTTGTATTGGTCAGCAGCCAGGCCTTGTGGCTGGAAAGGTTGAGAATCCCTGTTTCACAGCATGTCCTTGCCTTGTTCCTAAATGGGCCATTTAGGACTCACAATGATTGGCATGAACATGCTAAATCCAAGGTTGCTAATGCTACCATTAAAAGATTACAGGATCTTTACATTATTCTAATTTACATAACAAGTGATGGTTGACTAACAGCCAGTGCCTGAAACACCTCCTCTCCAATCATCTCCGAGACCCCAGTCACTGTGAGATTGGAAATGAGGCCTCGCGACTCACCTCTCATTGTCGACGCATCTGTACTGCGTGCTGGAACACATGGCCAGGCAGCGGGGCACGTTCCCCACCTGCACGGTCAGGAAGTGGTCGGGACACTCGCAGGTGTGGCCCTGGCCTCCGGCCCGGATCAGGCACAGGTGCGAACAGCCTCCGTTGTTCACCGCACAGGGGTTGGACACTGTAGGAGGAGGATTGAGTCACACACCTTGCTGGGGTACTGTCCCTTTAAGAATCCCAGAGTGGAAGAAGGTAGCCGATTGGACGGTACCCTCAGGGTCTCACCAGTTGGCTGCCGGTAGGGGTGGCACACATGGATGTCAAAGGGCCTGTGCGTCGTGTTCACCAGTGCTGTGCGGCCCGATCCATCATATTTGTTCCCCTTCTCCACAGTCCGGGTGTTCCAGTCAGTCCAGTAGACAGTGTCTTCGAAAACAGTCAGGGCGAATGGGTGGGGCAGGACTCCATCGTAGACTGTGTGTCGGTGGCGGCCCTCCAGGTCCGAGTACCTGTGGAGCGGGGAAGCAGGGTTTTCGCTGCATTTCCTACTCAAAGGCCTGTCACAAAGGCCATATTTGGGACGAGGTCTTACTCAATGTAGTTGAGGTGGGCGTCTGACCAGTAGAGCATGTCATTGGTGTAATCGATCGTGATCCCATTGGGCCACTCGATCTTGGTGGTGACGATGGCAGACTTGTTGTTCCCGTCCATGCCAACTCGGCCAATGAAGGCTCTCTCACCCCAGTCTGTCCAGTAAACATATCTAGAAAACAAATAGCCTCAGTTTTATCTGCTCAGAGCTGAAAATGACCAAACTCATGAGGACACTCTGGATTGAAAATTATACATCATATATAATTTTACTAATTATTAATTTGCTTCTTAAAGGAGAAAAAAGGTCAACAAAAGCTGAAATTACAGCTTCCAGGGGGTGTAGACTTCTGCTATCCAGTCCAATGTTTTAAAGTAAGGGTTAAAGCATAACAAGCTGTGTATTATACAATTCGCAGCCCCCACAGAGTGCAAGGCTTATACCATTAACTGCTTATACCATGATTACTACACATTTTGCTTACAGTTCTGTACCTACAGACATTTTCAAGTTTACAAGCCAAAAAAAATGTAATATTAGTATAACTACTTACTTCCAATAATGATTATACATTTTTGTTTGTCTTACATTAAATTTATATTGTGTTCTATGTTTGGAATTTTAAGTAACGTTACTTAGAATGAATAATCATAATTGTGCATCGATTTGCTGTGATTTATCTTGCTGACACTATGTGTGAGGTTATAGAAAATTATTCAATACCTTTTGAACAATCAAATTTGAGAATTCAATAGTGCTGTGTAGGGCTGCACAATTCAACCAAAAAAAAAAAAAACATGATCTCGATTCTCACCTTCTAAATTATAACTGTTTTTCTGGATTGTATTACATCAGAGGGATGAAAACAAGCGCTCCTACTTTTCCCCAGAGAGTCGCAAGCGTGCCACAATTCTGCACTCTCTTTAAAGGCTGCTTTTCCACCTCACCGGGTACCTTACTTTTGGTGCTTCAATTAAGTTCTCTCAATCTTCAGAACAGATTGCAGTTAAAGATTGAGTCACTTCATTTGTCCCCGCATAAATTATTATTATTATTATTATTATTATTTTAATTCTTTTAATTAGTATTGCCTTGTTTCGTAGTTTTCTGAGTTTGCAACTTTTTTCAAGATGCCGGTTGTATTGTGTTTCAGAGGCAGGCTATTTGCAGAACCGTTCGACAAAGAAAGCATTTCAGGTCCCACCCCAAAGTACTGAAGTACCAAAAAAGTTCCCCACTGGGACTTCTGTTACTGGAACGTTTGGTATGGCTGTCTTGATTACCCTAATTGAATGGTCAATTGAGCATTTCCTTTCTGTTGTCTGAAACTGATATGCCGGTTCTGGATCTATCATTTGTGTGTTTGGCACAGAATCGTGCAGCCCTAGTGCTGTGGTACAAACCTGACTGAAAAACCACTTGTAATGTTTTCTAAAAGGCTTGTAGTCCTCCTGGCTATAAATAGCAGGCATGTGTAGAAGGCGACCACAGACTGTAAAGGAACCTTGCATGTGTAGAAGACAACCACAGACTGTAAAGGAACCTTGCATGTGTAGAAGGCGACCACAGACTGTAAAGGAACCTTGCATGTGTAGAAGACAACCACAGACTGTAAAGGAACCTTGCATGTGTAGAAGGCGACCACAGACTGTAAAGGAACCTTGCATGTGTAGAAGGCGACCACAGAC